CAATAACTGTTGCACAGATATAATACACTACGCATCAATTTCTCTTCCCTTTGTGCTTTGCAGTTTTTAACACGAAGCGCTTACAATGTGCGCACATTGTAAGCGCGTGCTCATAGACTGTCAACCCTCTACACTGCGAGTAAATCACTCACATATGTGACTAAATCTTCACTCTGAGCGACTAAATGATGTCTAATATTAGCCAATGGCCAATCAATTCTCAGATTTTACTCGCCAGTGTGTGAGTTGGATGCTGAGTATATGATTAGCACAGATATATTTTCACTCACAGAACACTCTGACTGAGCGCTTCAGAGTTTCACTCTCCGTCAAGCGATCAAATTATTGTGCACTGATTTTTCTAGAATAACTTTTGCTGCCGAATTATCCACTAACCTAGTTTATGATAAATTTTTGTCATAGATTATAAATATACATAGGCCTATATTTTTTCATATTTGTTTATTTTATTTTATTTTTCTTTATAATGAAGTAGTCTGTATCTAGTAGATTGTGAAAGAATGATTATCAGTTCCACACACAGAGATATATACATTCTACATTTATTTAAATGAGGGAAAAAAACTTCACTGGTATCGGATCGGAATCGGTATCGGCCAATACCGAACCCTCGGCATCGGAATCGGTATCGGAGGCAAAAAAGACGGATCGGAGCATCCCTAATTTTGGGTGGAGAATCCCCTCAGTGACCTCTCTTGAACTTGTGACATACTGTAGTGAGGGGGGACTCTCTGTTCAGAAATACTGACAAGCTGTTTTTGTGACAATTGCAATCCTCAATACCTTCGATAATTATAATTCTAAAGATACAGTTTAAAAAATAATTCTAAACATAAAAGAATAGCAGAGTCCCCAGCACAACTATAATGATAGCTGCACAGAGAAACGGTATTGTTGGAATCTATTTCAGATATACATATATATATATATATATATACTGTTTTAGTTACTACTTTATTTCAAGTAACAAATGTTTTTTTATTATTTAAATTTAAGATAACTATAATAATCCTGAAGGGAGCAATACTATGATAGGGTGGTGCTTGGATGTTCTGATTTTGATTGAAGATGATACTTGGCCTGAAAAGTTTGAAAACTGCAGGACTAGACTGTAAGATATTATGCTGGCTGCTTTTGATGCAGTATTTCCAGAGTTAGAAGAGCATATCTTGCATGCCATAGATGGTGGAAAAGAAAACAATCTCTTTTATGTCTTAGTGATTCACACAGACAAAGAGCATAGGTGAAAAGCACTGTGGGTAAAGGATATCCCTCAGGGTTTCATGAACAACTAAGTCCACGCATCCATAATGCATGAAGACTAAACTGCGTGGTGGATGAGAAACAGCCTTGCATATGTTGTTGAATGCAGCAATAAGCATTTTTTGAGAACCCAATTAAAAAGTTATTTTTGTTAAATTCACAGCAGACATGAATGTGTGCATTATCTTCTGGAAGTTTTCTGATCTGTTTTATATGTGCATAAATTAACCAGCCTATTTAGTTAATAGGACTGTCAAATTATCCACTTTTTTTTTTAGTAAATACCTTTTAATTATGTTCCTCTTTTGTTAGTCACTTTTCAATAAAAGGGTCTGCTAAACGCATACATGTAAATGATTCATCTTGCAGTTTTAAATTTTACTACAGTTTACCACAGTATAATTTTTACTATTCATTTTACTACACTTTTATATTTTAATTATTACTTTGAATATTGTTAAGATAAAGTAATCCTTTTTATTGATTAGTAAAATTATATAAATTTATATTATTTATATATTGTATTTTTGTTCAAAAGTTTGGGGTCAGTTAAATGTTTTTAAAGAAGTCTCTTTCACACTCACCACGGCTGCATTTATTTGAACAAAAATACAGTAAATAGAGTAATATTGTGTAATATTTTTACAATTTAAAGTAACTTTTTTCTATTTGAATATATTTTAAAATGTAATGTATTCCTGTGATGCAAAGCTGAATTTGTGTCACATGATCAAAGTGTCACATGATGTTTCAGAAATCATTTTAATGATCTTATTTTGTTTAATACTGCTTATTATTTTTTTTTTTTTCAAAAGAACATAATTTATTCGAAATAGAAATGTATAAATGAAATAGAAAACTATAAAAGTCTTTGTTGTCATTTTTGATCAGTTTAATGCTTCCTTGCTGAATAAAAGTATACTTTAACCCCACACTTACTATATACATTTAAATTTGTTTTAAATGATAACATTATTATTATTATTATTTTGATTGACAGCCCTAAATGTTCTAAAAGATAAGCATCTGCTGCTATTAAAGATATGTGTATTTGTGTGTGTGTGTGTATATATATATATTAGGGGTGTAACGGTACACAAATATGACTGTTCGGTACGTACCTCGGTTTTAACGTCACGGTTCGGTATGATTTCGGTACAGCAGGGGGAAAAACTAAACTTTTATTTTTTATTTTTTAAATGGTTTACTGAACAAGTTGCTCTTTCTTTAAATACATTCAGTTATAGTTTACATTTTCTTAGTGATAAAAATCTACCTCAGCTTATGCTTAAAACTATAGGGAGCCCTTTTACATTATAAGGTTACAATTAGGCCTAACAACTTAACCCAAAC